GATTTCTCCCCTTGCTGTTCAATATGTGGTCGGTCAGACATGAGGTGAGGCCATGGAAAAAGCTCAGTAACCTTATTTTGACATGCTTTAAAATTAAGTTTGCTTGATGTTCAATAGATCAAGATTTTCCTACATATTTATATTAGTTGTACAGCGCATATGGGGACAATTTCTATGCACATAAATGTGTATTGAATGTGATTGCCTTATTTTCAACTTAATTCTTAATACTTCTGATTTTCTATTTCTTTGCAGATGATCTTAGTACAAAAATGGATACCCAAGCCACTTTGTTTTGGATTTGTAATTCAAATCTAATAGAGCTTGGCTTCCAATTGTCTTGTGACATCAGTAGCTGCTAAAAATACAAACTATTTAAAATATATGTTCCACTTGGACAATTTCTTCTATCTTAAGTTTTCATGTTTCTGATTCTCCAGATTTGGGGGCATAAAATCTGGTTAGGAATAGAAGAAAACCATTCTTACAAAAATAGGTTCTTATATTGAAAGCAAATAAGCCAAACCTAGTTTTTAACCTATTGTTTTCTGTAGAGAGTCTATAAAAATTGCAAAGCACAAGGCAAGTTTAAGATAGTTAAATTGGGATAAATGGAATAATAAATAATAGTTTCAAGATGTTTAGTGAAATGTGTGTTACAAATATTTGCAGATAACACTTTCAAATTTTGTGAACAATCTCCAGTTTATCTTTGTTGGAAGGCATATCTCACAATGCAGTGGTGTTAAACCCATCTTTATGTGCCATGTGTAAGCAAGTGACTTAGGTCGTGTTTATTCTTGAATCCATTTTCTTCTATCAATTGAATGATATTCTCTACCATTAGCAAGTGTCAGGCTTCCAAAACTTGTGCATTACACCTTTTCTGATATTATCTAGTTGCTTAGCACCTCTACTTGCCTTGAAGACAAAAGAAAAGAGTGAAAGATCATTGTGAAGTTTTTCATTCCTGTGAAGTTCATCAGAACAGCAGCAGGGGATCCAGTACCTTTCTTTCTTGAAATTATAAATCAGGTATTTCTTCGTGTCTCCATAGAACTCAGTGGAGGTTAGAATTTGGCTGCTGACAAAATATAAAATCATTACAAAACCTGTTTCTGTCCCCTAAAGAGAAATACAACTTCATTTTCCAAACATGACTAATATAAAGCTTTCCTTTTAGATGAATTATTTAGATTAATTATCCAATTGCAATACTCTGACAAGCACATATTAAGGGAAGCATATAAAAACCTTGCTTGAAAATAATATGTTTACTGTAATGATGCTAGTCTTATGAACTATTTTGTAATTTATTTTTCACCCAACAGATTTCTATGGAAAGGTTCCATGTGAGACAAAAAGGTAGCTTCACCATTCCAGAAGTTTAACAGATTTTCAGTGTAGGAATTTGCAGTGATTTATTATTTTATTATTTTTTTCTTTTGGTTTTTGTTCTTGTGTTGTGAGTCTGGAACTCTAACTTAGTTTCTGATGCTTTGCTTATTGGCCAGCACTCTACCAACTGAGCCATAGCTCCAACCCTGCAGTGATTTGTTCTGAAGTTCCTCATTTTCCAATTCTTACATTGCTAGAATTCTATATATTTACTTTTGTTACATTTTAGATATCAATATTCTTGTTCTTTACTGTCATAGGGTATCTATAAATATTGGTTCTTTTAGTTCCTTCAATATTCATGCTTTCTCTTACTAATTACTAATGTTATCGTGTCTCTAGCTTCAGTCAAAATAACTTTAGCTTCTTATTATTTTAATGATATTAACATTATATTTCTGACAAAATTTTTTTTACCAAAAAATATTCACTCATTCTTTAGATAGTTTAATGAAACTGTCATTGCTACAGATGCTATTATATTTCACTTAATTTTATTAATTTAGAATTAAATTGGGTTCCAGTAGTACCAACTACGCTAATATTGGCTTAAACATAGCAGTTCATTTTTCTCATGACCACTAATACACAGGTATGTTTATGCACATGCACATGTACCATATCCATATTTTGCCTGCTAATGAATTAAAAATATTAAATGGAAAGTTGAGGATCTTTTTTATACTTTTCTTTTTCACCTTTATGTAAGGTAAGACAGTTTTGAATCTCTTAATTCTCCCACTCCTTCCAAAACCCCAGAATCACTCTCATTGTAAACTAATTTTCTTGGCCTTTGTCATTACCCAGTTTTTATTTATCTTTCACAGGTATAGCAATATGACCTTTCTCATTTCCTTATTTAAAGGTTGTAACTACGGCTTATAAGATTTTAACCACTCTCTCACCTGAGGGCAAAATCCACATTCCTTGACTTGGCATACAAATCCTTCATGGCCATGTCACTTTTGGCTTCATCTTCTAGCATTTTTCTGATTAAATTAAGCTGCTGGCTATTCACCAGCAACTAAGCTTGAAACCTAGGATGAGAGAGCTGAATTCACATGTGCTGAATGAATGGATGATGAAGACTTCTCTGTCTTGTTCCCTCCATATGTCATGTTATAACATAATTCCTCCTGTAACATCAGAGAGGGCAAGAAGTGTCTCCTCTTGATAAGTCATGTTTCAATCCCAAATGATATCAGTACCAGTTAAGTCCTCTTTAACATTGGGTTAAAACTTATTTTTAAGCTGGACACTGGTGGCTCACACATGTAATCCTAACTCTTCAGGAGGCTGAGATCTGAGGAACATGATTAAAAACCAGCCCGGGCAGAAAAGTCCGTGAGACTCTGATCTCAAATAAACCACTAGAAAACCAGAAGTGGTGCTGTGGCTCAAGCGGTAGAGCGCTCACCTTGAGCTGAAGAGTGCAGGGAGGTGGCTAGGCCCAGAGTTCAAGCCCCACGACCGACAAAAGAAAAAGAAAAAACTTATTTTTGAGCGAGTGGGATCAGTGCACCTACATGTTAGCACAGAAATAGCCAATCCTACTTTCTATGCTAATGGATCATTTATATTATTAGCATTTGGAAAACCCATGAAAATATACTAATCCTACTACCTGCTTACTGTCAGAAACAGCAGCATAGTATCAAATATATACTTTAAATAGCTGTACTGAGCATGCCCAGAATTCAATAAAATAACTTGAAATCACACACCCAATGTACACATTTGTGTTCTATTCTTGGTTGCATATTTTGCTGTTAATAAATTTTGATCACTGGATCATTAGATGGAACTTGTTCTAGATTTCAAGGATTATTTATACACTACATTCAAACCACTTCCCTGAGAAAAATGCTATTTTATAACTTGTAAGTTTAGAGTCTCAGAATACAGGTAGTAGAATATCTGCAGGCTTGTAGTTTGAAGAAAAATTGACAGCTATTATCTAATGTTCTGTGGAACATTTCATTTCTTTTTTTTGTCAGTCGTGGGGCTTGAACTCTGGGCTTGGGAACTGTCCCTCAGCTCTTCAGCTCAAGGCTAACACTCTACCACTTGAGCCATAGCCCTACTTCCGGTTTTCTGCTGGCTTATTGGAGATAAGAGTCTCACAGACTTCCCTGCCCAGGCTTGGCTTTGAACCATGATTCTCAGATCTCAGCCTCCTGAGTAGCTAGGATTATAGGCATGAGCCACTGGCTCCCGGCTTTCAATTCTTTTTGATTGCCCCTGATAGTTGACTTAAAAATAAAATAAAGGATCATTGAACTTGAAATTTAAACATTTGTTCTACAAATGTGGCTTGTGACTTAGTCATGAAAATCAGTCTATTAAAATTTTGTCCTACATTGCTACTATCAATGTGTTATTTTAAATTGTTTTTCTTCAGTTTTTCTGATATATATTTACATACATACATATGTGTGTGCGTAAGTGTGTGCATGTGTGTGTGTTTGTGTTTGTATGAATGAGACTTTTTGTGTCACTATATGGATGACTCTAAATTAGGGAGCTTGAAACTGAAGTCCTAATGGCTAAATATGACCAGATGGCCAGATAAATTTTGTCAACTCCCTATGGGTCTCATCTTTCTTTGCCTTGATTTAGTTCTTTTTCTACTTCACTAAGTAGATACACGTGCTAATAAAATTGAAGTGGCAATTTTCCCAGTATTACACCATTATCAATAAAGAAAAAAGTTGCAATAGGAAGAAATTATAACTGTTTAGGAAAATATTAAATACCCTTTTTAATATTTCTTTTAGATAGTAGGACTCATGCACTCAGAAATGTATTTTCCTACTACTGTATGTAGAAGAGTAGTAGAATATAATTTAACAGCCAGATGTATATTAACAAAAGAATAAAATATGTGTATATATATGTACGTATATGTATATATGAAATATAAGAGTCATAAAAATGAGTAAGTAGCTCAGACATTTAGGAGATCATTGGAGAAGACTTCAGACTATAATATACAACAGTACTTAGTTCCCAATAATTAGTAATAGCAATATTTATATTTAAGAAAACAAATAGTCATCTCTGCATAGCTCCTACATATTTTGTTAAAATATTCATGGATATATTGGGTCCCTGTGCAATAAGAAATTAGATCAAAATATTTATAACATGTGAGAGTATAATTTTTTAGCATTTTGGTGGAATATTAATGTTTACTGCTTTTTAATGGTTTTCATCAGTTTTACGCTTTAGTTTTCCCTCTCTGAGCAGCTACAATAGATTGATTTAGCCATTGCAAAACATTAAATGTAGTGTTCTAATATCTTGTGACAGGGTTCCCCTGATTTGGCTCAAAATTTAGTGAAAAGGGTAAAATTAAATTTTTCCCCACAAGTTTGCATGGTCTTATTTATTGAAAACCCATAGTTTCTCCTGTGCTTAAAAACATTTCATTTTATTCAGTTGTATGACATGAACAAGACCATATCAGACACAGTGAACAGATGTAGATTTAGGACCTATATACTAAAAATAAACCATATGTTTCCTTTACTTTTTCTTTGATTTACTAAAAGCATGAACATCTATCTCTTTCTATTTCTTTGTTCCCCTCCCTTCCCAAGAACGACCCACATTTCTCAGGAGGCCAATTAACCAGGTGGTATTGGAGGAAGAAGCTGTAGAATTTCGGTGCCAAGTTCAAGGAGATCCTCAACCAGCTGTGAGGTGGAAAAAAGATGATGCAGACTTGCCAAGAGGAAGGTAAGACCATTGTGGGATAGAAAATTGTTAGATGACCAATGAATGATTGACAAAGAAAAAGACACGGTTCTGCCACCAGATATATACATACATACATATATATATATACATATAGTATTGTTTCCAGATATGTGACTTATATGTGCACTCTACATATTGGCCCTGTGCACATTAAAATCTTTTGATGACTTTCTTTTCAATGACTATGCACACTAAGGCCTGACCCTTCATTCTGTTACTCCCAAGTGCCAAGAATTCCTGAAGTGCTTGCTTTTCACATGGTTTCTTGTAGGTTGATTGTTCTTACTACTGAATTCTAGACAATCCATCCCATTCCATCAATCAATGATAGACCTGTTTCCATGTATTTCACTCACATGGAAGCCATCTGCCTTTCTTTAATTCCCAAGGCATCTTTAACAAAAGGCTGACCCTTAAGAGTAGTAACAAGAAAAAGGCAGAAAGTAGATGACATCACTGTCCATTCAGGGGGATTTCCCTTTCGGGACCTCTGGGCATTTTCTCTTCCCATTTCTTCCTGGAGACATACATTTAATCACTTACTCACTCTTGCCAAATGGTAAACTCAATTTTTCAACTATCTACAGTATCCCCAACCTGCATATTCTATTCCCTTACCATATTTTGAAATTTTTTTTGTTCTTTAAATTTTCCTAAAATTTTGATGTATAGATTTGAATAAGTTATCAGATCCCACAGAAAGAACAGTATGTTTTAATGATTTGTTTGCTTTTCATTTTTCATTTTCATTTTTCATTCATGCCTACTGATATTACATTTATCATACTTACCATAACCATTATATAAAAGTGTATAACTTGCATTTTTATTTTTGTCTTCTATTTTCTCATTCTAAAAAAATTGGATTTCAATAAACTGATTGAATTAAATATACTTGCACACAAGCCAGAGGCTTTTGTGTGTGCATTTATCAGCAACATTGTGGATATTTTGCTCAACTCGTGTACTCATTTTAAAATCCAAATTCTATACACCTTAGGTCTGAGGTACTATACTTTGTTTCTAAAGGCATACAATCAATGACACTGAATTAAAATTTTAACTATTTAGTGAGAATTTCCTTATAATCTACCGGTATAAGGGAAATTTTCAGTTAATTTTTTGGTTTTAATAGCAGAGAAACTCGCCCCTGATTTTGATTGGTTTTTGAATATTTGTTTGTTTGTTTATTTTGTTCAGTTACTTGGATTTAGTTACTTTGCTGCCAGACATTTGCCTATAAAATCAGGAGAGGTTAGTGAATATGAGGCTCCTTATGTTTGCTCAGTGGAGAAGCAGCTCAAGAACCAAGGAAATTCTTGCAGAATTGAGTTGTTGACATCTATTCTTATGTATAACAAAAACCTTATTCAAATTTGAGAGCACATAACTAGTGACTCTTCAGTGTTGACATGTGAGTATCTATATTATAATAGAATACAGTCAAGCATAGACAACAATTACTCTTTAATACTGAGTGCATGTATCTTTGTTCACTCTTTTTAAAAGGTTACTTTCGGAAAAATACTTGACTTAAAGCAAGCACACATAGTTCCTGTACACTTTGAACCCATTTCACTTACTGCCAGTGTCTATGAAACATTATCTCCTCTAATGAACAGATGTTCAGACATGATAATAAATTGCAATATAAACATTTTTTGGATTTCCCCACTCTGATTAATATCCTTTTTCTGCTCCAACATTCAGTCCAAGGTATTTACTTAGTAGAATATCATATTTAGTTCTGTTTTCCAAATTTCTGTGGACTATGACACAATCTTAGTGTTTTCTAGTTTTCATGACCTTGAAAATATTGACAGGATGCATTGGGTTGACATGCTGTAATGTGTCCCCTAAACCTGGGTTTGCTTTTTTTGTGTGTGTGTAATTAGACTGGATTTATGGCTTTTAGAAAGAATGTCACAAAACTCAGGTATTTTCCTGATCTGCTTTGTACTTGATATCCAAAGAAATTTACTGTTGGCCAATCCAATAATAATTGTTAAATAATAAACTCAAATTGAGGAAAAATTAAAAAGTAAAGAGTTGTAAAACTAATTTAATATTTCTGTGTTTTTGGACAAAGATAAAATGATAGCTAATTAAGCCTAGATTGATTTTTCCCCTATTTACTGTTTTTGTGAAGGCAAAAACCTGACAGCTTTAGCTATTACACTATTCTATGTCAAATTCACTTGTTTCATTAGATAAAACACACATACACATCAGACAATAGCATCCAAGTTAGATATTCAAAATGTGTGATATTAAGCTCTTGCAACACAGAATTTAAATTTTGAGGAACTCTCATCTCTCCTAACTTCCTTTACAACATTTTCATAATGTTGGCTTCTGTTCTACTAATGGCATAGTGCTTGTTTGAGTAGCTAATATTTTTAATGTGTTAGTCAAATAGAAGTGCTTTGTAAGCTTTAAATTGTTGTGTTAGAAAGGCTTAGAGCATGAATCAGCGCCCTGCAGAAATTGAGGTCAGTATTTGTATCATGATATTTCCAAGGAGATTATTCATTCTTAGGTTTGCATGTATTAGCATAAGCTTCCTTTATGCGTAATGATGGGGAAAGAGACCTCTTTACTTGCTGTGGAATAAGAGGAGTTTTAGCTAACCACCCACTAAATCCACAACATTGATTCTGATACATTATTTAGGTCTGGGATGAGGGAGATAGCCATTGTTCTTTCATAAGCAGTTGGTGTGGAGGATGACATATTTTTGGCTTACTGCTTAATGAAATTCGAATAAGGTCTGTGTAGTGGTTCATACTTAACACATTTAGAGTAAAGCTTTGTAGGGCAGCTGCATAGCCTGTAATTACTATGTAAGTAATATGTGACTATTTTTTTTAGAGCCAAGAAAAGCTTTTCAACTCAAGTTTAAATTTATGAAATGCTGTGATAGCTATTTAAACCTTCAGCACAGAATAGGATATCTATGCCAAACTTTCAGTAACCAGAGATAAATTTAGGGTAGCATTATTTTCCCTGCGGTGAAAAATACATTTTACAGGAATATACATGCATCTCTTTCTTTTATTTAGTCATAAACTCCTGAATTTTCTCAGTAGCTGACATTAATTGTGAGAGAGGTAGATTAAAAACTTTTGTTATATTAGAATGTTTTGATTATTTAGGAGCATAGAAGAATCTTTAAAAATAATTCTTTGCTCAACTAGACAAAAGCTGTTTTGTGTGTTGATTTTCTGTATGAAAAAATGAACAATATTAAATAGAAAATGAGGCATGGTAACAATGTTTGATAAAAATTTACTCATAACCTTACTCTTGTAATTGTAACCCCTCTATAATTACCCTTAGAATAAAATTTTTAAAAATTACACTATATGGATTCTTATCAAAATATTAATTTAGTTATTTCTCAATTAGTACTTGTAATTGTATACATCAGAATAAAAAAGTTACTGAAACTTACTGACCATGAAAATGATCATTTTGTGTTAATCAGGTAGATTAATGAGTTGAAATAAATCAACACTATTTTATTTATCAAGGAAAAGAATTTTATACACCAATATGAAGATAATATAAGGAAAGTGAGCAAAAGAGAAAAGGCACTTGATAGTTTAACAATGATTAAGATATTGAAAAACACAATTTTTAAAAACAAGTTAAATTGTGAAAATTTGGCCCACATGTATCAGTTGGCTCTAGTTTGTGATGCAAAGTCATTTTTGCAAAGTAAAAGTATTATTTTTCATTCTTATATCTAAAAAATATAAGAATGAAAAATAATACAGGCACTATGGAAAATTATTTGTATGTTAAAAACATTAGAAAAACAAATAAACAGAGGTAGAATTAGTTAGTTCCTTGAGTGCTTCATCTTTCTTTCTCAGGGTTCCTAGATTATTAAGCTCACTATTACTCCTTATGATCAAGGAATTATCAGTGTAACTTTTCAGTAGGTATTTTACCTGATAGAAGCTGTCAGTACTTATAATAAATGATGCCTTGTTCTAATTTATACATCTTTCTACCTTAAGGTAAATAAAATATCTTGTTAAACTAGAAATATATATGTACCAAAGCCCCATAAAAATATATTAACACAAGAAACAACAACAAATGTACTAACAAAGAAACAAGGATAGCAACTCTATAATATTTTGTGCTATCAGTACAGAAGAGAATTTTAGAAACCTCTTTTAGAATTTGAGTAAAGAGTGATTAGTAGAATTACTAATTATAATTTCCTTTACGTGTGTTTGTGTGTGTGTGTGTGTGTGCGCGCTTGCGCTCCTGTGCCTGTATCAGGACTTGAACTCAGGGCCTCAGCACTGTCCCTGAGGTTTTTCACTCAAGGTTGGTGCTCTTCTACTTGAACTCCAGCTCAACTTCTGACATTTTGGTGATTAACTGGAAATGAGAGTCTTATAACTTTCCTGTCCAGTCTATCTTTGAACTGTGATCCTCAGCCTATTGAGTAGTTAGGATTACAGGCTCAGCTACTGGCACCTGGACTTTTGTGCATGTGTGCTATAATTAGGTCTTGAATTCAGCCCTCATGGTAAGCTCTTTTGCCTGTAGCTGACATTGTATAATTTGAGCCATGCCTCTAGTCTTGCTTTTTGTTGGTTACTTTGGAGATGGAGACTCAAAGACTTTTCCATTTGGGCTGGCTTTGAAACATGATCTTGGAGATCTCAGCTTCCCCAGTAGCTAGGATTATAAGCATGAGCTACTGACACCCAGCTTAATTGTGATTCTTATTTGAACATATCAGCACAGTCTGTATTTCAGTTAATGATTGCAGTCTTTAAAGAACTGTTACTTGGAGATCTTATATCTCTCATCAATCATATAGTTTTCCACATGTCACCATTAGTTAGTGCCACAGTTTCTTTTATTCCATTTTTACTTATTTTCTAAACCAATGCTAATGTGACACTAAGGTCCTCCAGGAGGATCTATAGTGGCAGAGGAATGCCCATAATAGC